TTTTTTTTTTTTTTTTTTTTTTTTTTTTGGGTCCTCGTTCGGCCTGAACGGCCGAACGCCTTCCGAAGGGGTCCCGTACGTTCGGGCGTTCGGCCCGTCCCGAACGCCGGCAACCCTGTATATATATATAATAAATAAATAAAAGGAAACGACCATGAATGTGGCCGTGATTACAGCTAAGTGCACTTGCTCAGGCCTGAGTGTGACCACTAAGGCCAGAGCAGTACAAACTGAACAGCCATTTTGAAAAAAGTTCAGTCTGGCCGTGACGTACCTGCACTCGAACGTGTGCCAGGTACGTCGGACTTTGAAGAGCCATAGAATATTCAGAAAAAGAAAAGAAAAAGTGTTTTGAAAATGGCAGGAAGCCAACTATCTCGTGAAATTACGAGATAGCTGGAGTAAAAGAAAGAAAAATAAAATACAAGCAGTTGAAAGTAACTGCCTGCCTAAGTGTGTGGCCCAGGCTGAGCCACATTGAGCCATCGATTTGGCTCAGATCCAGGGCTCAGCTTGAGCCCGTGAATGCACCTGAGGTAAAGGAGTGCTGGGCAGCTCCCTCGAACAACTATAAAAGTCAACCTCTTACCCAGCAGCCTCACAATTCTGGCAGTGCTGCTGGGACATTCGCTTGAGTGAATAGTGGCTGGCTGCTACTGAGGGTAGATGCTGATAGAGGAGGAAAAGTGGAAGTCTACTAGGGATTGAGAGAGGTGAAGGCAGCCATAGCTAAAGGCTCGGAGCTCCTTGCCCCACCCTTGTGCTTGTGCTGTGGCTGGTGTATGTGAGCTGCAGTCGCAAGGCCGCGACAGACTCGGATCGTGTGGCAAGAGGCCCACGACGGGGAAGTGCTGTCCGACGGCCTGCTTGGTAGTAAATGGTACTAAGTGAGGAGGCTGCGCCGTGGCGATTTTGAGGGAAGGTGCTGCCCGACGGCCTGCGTGGTAACGTTTGAGTGGTAATGCTGCGTCGCCGTGTTTTTGGAAGGAGGTGCTGTCGAAAATTTTGTGCGGTGCAACATGGTTTTTCCTTTACGGCGGTAATGACCGTGATATGGTGTATTCGGTAGCGTTTTAAGGGGAGGTGCTGCTGAAATTGCGCGGCAAGATTAGAGGTTTTGCCGGCGTTTTTTTTTAATCTGCGGCAGTGACTTTTTTTGTGGCCCAGTACTTGGCGGTGTGGCTGCTAGGGTGCGGGCACTACGGCATTGAGGCTGGAGGTGCTTTTGTTTTGAGCAAGTGCCGCGATCGAGAGTTTTTTTGGGAGATTATTTGGTGGTGTGGTGGCAGCGTGAAAGCACTTGGGGCCAATTTGGGACCAAGTGAGTTGGGATTGAGACTGGGGCGAGTATTGTGGTGAGTGTTGGTGATCAAACGTGATGATTGAAGGAGGTTGGACTGGTGATTGAGGTGGACCTATTCTTGGTGGGCGAGTTGCCGCTGGGATTATAGTGGTGGACCACTCAGAACTGTAAGTGAGAGCATCCTCCTCGAGGGCTATTTTGCTCAGCTCTTGTGAGTGGCGCCTGTGTCTGTGGTGACACTTGAGAAGGACGCGGTTCATTTTTTTTGTAGATGGCCACTACTTGATATTGTGTGGCTGATCCTTTTGAAGAGAATTACTTGGCTTTCTTGAGTGAACCGTTTTCAACTTCACTCAAGGTCAGTTGTGACTCAATTCCCCTTACACACATGTGTGAACCCAGGGAAAAGGCGAAGTAGGGTGTGTGACGTCATGCATGTGGGACAAGCGGGCTGACTTCATTGGGATGTGGGTGATTGTTTTTTGGTTGTTTCTTTTGTTGTTATGCAGGTAGGTAAAGGATGTATGTGGGAAGAGAGTTGCATTATGCTTGTGCTCAAGGAAACGACGGAAAAGTTTCTCTCTTCATTTTATACCTATCTGGATGTCATAAAGCACAACACATTGAAAAGGGAAAGGTTATTGGGTGCCGAAAGAGAGAAAATTTCAGATGAAGAAGAATAAATAAGAGAAGGATTTAAATAAAAAAAAAAAAAAAAAAAAGGATTTGGGATCTTCCCAAGGAATATCCCGTTCTATCCCGAATGACACTTTTTTGGTGTGCCCGTCCGAAAGAGTCTCAATCTCTGTATTCTTCTTATCTTATTCTCTTTTTGTCTAAAACGAGTGCCCGTGCTAGGGTGGGGTTAAGTGCTTATCTTGGGGCTTAACTTTCACCCCAGTCCACTTAGCCGTTTGGTTGAGTGAAAGCCTCTTGATATGGAGGTCGCGCGTTCGATCCTTGTGGTCGGCTCGTGTTTGGTCTATGTTTACATACGACTAGCGTAGTATCCTGCAGTGCATTAACACTGTGTGGTGGCTACGTCCACGCCTGTGTTGGGTGTGTGTGACTGTGTACACCGGGTCGCGGGGAAAAACGAGTACCCGAGCTGGGGTGGGGTTAAGTTCTCATCTTGGGGTTTCACCCCAGTCCACTTAGCCATTTGGTTGAGTGAAAGCCTCCTGATATGGAGGTCGCGCGTTCGATCCTTGTGGTCGGCTCGTGTTTGGTCTATGTTTACATACAAAGCCCCAGTGGGAAGTATAGGAAAAATTATTACACGTGGTAATAGGGATTTCTTCTCTCTTGGAGGCATCTGGGGCAGGGGTTCGTTGCTTTAGGAGCCGACCCTGTTATTGACCCGGAGTGGACCGTTCAACGGGGGAATACCATGCTGTATCGCAGTTGAGCCAGCCCAACTTTTGAAAGCTGAGCAATGCGTTCGGGCGAGAGGGGGTATTCCAAACCACTTTGTAGAGGGTAGGGTGTCTTGCAGTAAAGGGTAGTCGTTTTTTTTTTATACATACTTTCGAGCGGGGGACGACCGAAGTTAATACCTCTTTGGGTGGCCGCCTTAGGTGCCACCGACGTATGGGGAACTAGTGCCGAAGAAGCCCAATTCATGTTATCAAATAGTGTCAAAAGGGGTGCGAGTAGGCACTACCTTCGCGGCAGGACCGTGACGCAAGAATCACGTTCCAGGGAAAAGAGAGTTGAGCACAGAGATTGATACATATAATTTTATTTTGACAAGGTTATTACTTTGTCATCCAGATGTCTACAGGAGCAGTGATCATCTGATTATTCAGTACACGTGAGGTGGCGATAGATTGGATAGCAGTGCCGACGCGTTCACGTGCCGGCATGATACGGAAAGGACGATTGGTTTACAACCCGTATGACGTCTTTTCGGAGCGAGATGAGCCATTCTTTTGGGATGGAAGCGTGCGGAATCCTCTGCGGAGTTATGTTTTCATGACAGAGCATGGACGACTCATTGTACGATATGACTTTGCGCCTCCTAATCCGGCTCGAGATTTTGGAGATATGAATCTCGTCGTAGTTTATGAGGCAAATACAGTTAGAGAGGACATTCTCGAGATTAGAGGGATGTTTCTTTATATTGTGCTATGGCTAAATGATCAGCAAGGTCCATTCAGTCTCCTTCATCATGTGAGTCGGGTACGAGCGAATAGATTTAGTATCTTTCGCCTTGAGCGTTTTGACGTCATCGCATTTGATGATGAGGCTTATGAGATCGGGGAACGTCTCTTTAACTGACGATTCTTCGGATGTGCAGATGATTAGAGGACGACGGGATCTCACTTAGGCAATATATCTGCTGGTTCACGACACTATGAACGAGGAGTTGATTCGGCGCGCGAAGCGACTTTTATTTGTTCAGGATGATGCACCCACTCAATGGGTTGGTTTCGTAGGATTGCTCAGAGATGGGCAAGGGTTTTTTCCTGACTCGCGCGCGGATGTCCATGCCAATGTGCCCAGACTTCGGAATGAATTTTATGGATATACCTTGTATTTCCAGCGTGCGAGCAACCTCGCACCCTCCAATGCCTTTCTCGGGTCGTTGTGAGTGTCAAAATTACCCTATCCAGAGAGCGCTACAGCGTCATTCGGATTAGGGACACTACAACCAGGCACCTTTTTCAAATGTGACAACCGTGTCGCACCAAAGTTTGGAGGCTAGCCTCACGAATGGCTTCCCTCTATGGTATGCGGATGGTTCGGGTCATGCGAGGTGGACACATTACCACCTTGACTTTTGATGATGAGGAGCTTGCACGACTCGACCAGATAGAAGTTGAGGCCCTGCAAGGGCCGACAACTCTATATTGGCTAGACGCGCCTTGAATGATATTTAGGTGTCGCGTCGAGTTGTCCCTATGATAGAGTCATGTTTATATAACTCTACGAGGGTAATAATAAAAGCAAAAAAAAAAAAAAAAAAAAAATTGTAGATAGGACCAACCAGATGGATAGTATCTGGATTGCCCCGATGATTGCACTATCATAATTATGCATTGAGGGGTAATTAAACGCATAGCAATGTGTGCCATGCGTAAGTTGATTGAAGTGGGAAAAAAAAATCATCGAGTTAAACAAAGTGAAATGGTATTCCCCTGTTCGCAGTAGCGAATGCAGATCCCAGGGCTTGATCCCTAGACTTTACCTTACTTGTGCACATTACCTGTGTCGGCCCTAAGAGTTGAACCCACGACTTGTGTCTGTTCCCACAGTTGATAGACTGTCGTAGGGTCTGTAGATTGTAGGGGTTCGATCTGTAGACCTATAGAATAGTGGTTTTAGGGAGTTCTAGAAGTCATAGTTGTAGGACCTCTGGAAGGTCAAGGTCGTAGCTGCTACAATATCCGAAAGGCCACGACCGATACTTCCGGAAGGTCCAGGTATTGGCCTTTCCAAGCTGCTCACGTTTAGGCTGAGGCAAGTGGGCAAGTGGTGGAGTCTACCCGTGCTGAGTCAGCAGTCCCAGTCCTAGTCAGTCCTAGTTCGGCCAAGCAAAGACCGTACGGGATTATGTGCACCCCGGGCATGGGAAAGGGCCAGACCAACGAGCTACAAAAGTATAATTTAGAGGCAGCGCCCGACCATTCATTCATTCCTGCGTAAGGCATGCGAAAGCGCTGCCACAACGACTTCTGCGAGGTGGTCTGCAGTGAGCCCGAAGACGAAGTGGTCGAGAAGGAGAGCTTAGCCATAGCGATAGGAGTAGTAGCAGCCATAGCCGCCGTAGCTGATAGAAGAGTGTAGCGTGTGTGAGTGCGTGAGTATACAGTGTGATGTGTGTGGGATATCCAGGGTGATCCTGTGTGTGAACAGCAGCCTCGAGTGAGTGACGAACAAAGATTTGTACAGGCGCGATGCGCCACAGCCATCTGAAGTGAGATTGTATTTGAACTGTATTCCTGGTTACCATATCTTCGAGTTTTGAGTGGGCGCTTGTCGCCAGTTTGCTGCGCAACCTGTTTACATGTGTGTGAAATGTGAGAAGAAGCGAGTCTGATTGCAATTGGTATCGAAGTTGGTACCCGCTATTCCACGCGCGATCGTCGTGTGCCGCAAGGAGGGCCTCGCGCCACAGCTGAAGGCGCCATCGAAGAAGAAGTCCGCCATAGCGGATCACAGGTCGAAGAAGCCGCCACGCGCACCTGCAGAGAAGACAACGACGAAGAGAGAGGGAGAGAGAGAGAGAGAGAGAGAGAGAGAGAGAGAGAGAGAGAGAGAGAGAGAGAGA